TTAAAAACTAATATGATTTTGTCTTTTCCATTTCAATTAGCACATTAATCCATATGAGTAACAGTGTCACTAAAAAATATTATCACTAATTAACAACGACTTTTTTCAAGTTAATTGTGATAAAATTAATTAAATTAGATATATATATATATATATATATATATATATATATATATATATAAATAGTAACAGTGAAAAAGTAATTCATCTAGGTTTACTCACATTTATTTATACCAAATTATATACTAATAAGGAAATGCGATTGGACACGCTTTAAAACTATTTTTCTTTTTTGAGACTAGTCTTAGTTAACCTCAATTATTAGTTTCACCTATAATAAGGAGCCATATCAGTTTAGCTGCACAAACGCAAGGAATAATATAGTATTCCTATGCAGTACATTTTGAAATCACGTATATACCTGATAAATGATGAATAAATTATTAGTCATAATTCATCAGATCATTATCAACCTAGGAACAGATTACTACAGCATTATTTACGTTAGGGCAAGGAGATACTGTTACGAACCAACTTAATGGTATTGTAAATCAGCTACAGTTCCATGAAAGTTGGTTTCGGAAAGTCTAATAAAGCATATGATAACACACATAACTACACAAACATTAATTCTATAGGATGCTAATTAAACGATCGAGATGCAACCTTTGCAGCACTGTTTCTCTAATTGCACAAGGAAGAACTAAAATTAACTACAAATGGAAACAAACAAACAAAGAAACATTTGAAGTCTAACTCTCACACCAAGCCATTGTTTATGAGAGAGGAAGGAAAAGATATGGAATATGAAATAAGGAAGATGGAATATGGGTGTGGCATGGTGCATAATGAGCCTAGCTAGCTAACTCAATATCTCTAAATTCTAACACATACCATATGGGTTTAATTTGCATACATCTACTTCACAATGAGGTTTTAAATTGGTTCTGTAATGATTACAGAAGACATAGATTTTTGTCGAGAAGCTATATTTAGCATATGCTGGGCATGTTGTTCCAGCAAGTTCCTAGAGTCCAAGCATACTCTTGATCAGCGGGGTCAGGTGGTGAAGCATTCGGCTGATTTTCAAGTCCCAATGACTGACTCTCCCCTCTACGGTACCACTCAGGCATTGGCGTTTCTAAGGGAAACTGATTCAGCAGACTAAACAAATCATCGTCCATCGAGTTCATCTCTTCCATCGGATCCTCTCTCATCACTTTCTTCCCTGCATATTACACATCCAAATCATGAAAATTTAACACATCATTACAGCTTTGTTAATAAATCTCCTGACAATTGAGGTGAAAAAGTATATGAAACAACCAGAAGAGTGAAAAAGTTTCACCTTTTGACAATTGAGAGAAGCTATTATCATCATCCCTCTGGTTTTCAGTAGTAGTACAGTTGCTACTGTTCTTCTTCATGGCTGACACCATAGGCTCAGTGCGTCCCTCATCCGCATATTCCATGTTCTTTCTCTTACAAGATAGTTTTCCAGCAAGGGTCGGGTCCTCCTCATTCTTGGACTTGTCAATGTGAGAAAGTCCTTGAGCCTCCATCACTAGAGCATCCAGCAGTCCACTGTTTCCTGGAGGAGACAACGGTGCAACTTCATAGTAGTCATTGTTATTATTATTATTATTAGCCATGGTTGAAGATCCCATCAGGCCATCGACACCACTAGCATAGGACGAAGCAGGGGTTGGTGTTTGGTTGGAAGAGATGTCGGGGGTGGACCCTGATACCAAAGGAAAGGATTCATATGGGGACCCTGATATAATGCCATGATCACCAAAACTGTGGTTAAGAAGGGTGGATGATGATGATCCATATTGAGAAAGAGGAGATAATGGCAAAGCAAGATTTGTACTTCCACCATTGTCATTGGAAAACTTGAAGTGCTTCAGGCTTGGATTAATGTAAAAGTTGGCAGAATCAGGATGGTTTTGCAGCGGATTGGCATTGAAACCGTTGGTTTGGCCAGGGTCATCGGGCTTCTTGGGGTAACAAGAAGATAGGAGTAAAGCAAATGATGAATGAGGTATGTCTTCCAAGTAGCGGTGTTGTAGATTGAATGCAGTGGCTTCTGCATGCAGCTCAGGAGGATAAATGGGTAACCCTGCTCTCTGACGCCTTTTCATTCTGGTGTTCCAAAAGTTTTTTATTTCATTGTCGGTCCTGCCAGGTAACTGAAACCAGAAACATGATAAAGATGGTGAGAGAAACAGGTTGTGGGCGAACCAAATCACGTAAAGGTTTGATAAAGTTTGGTGTTTAGCCTCGGCAAAAGAAAACTCGAGTGGGTCCTGATGAAAGTACGTTGTTGAAAGAAATAAACAAAGATACCAATTCCATATATTCAGACAAAAAGACTGAGGTCAGCTCATACAAAATCCAAAATCTGACAATATGCATGAAACTGTAATTAATTAAAACGAAAAGGGAAAACAAGCAAAAAAATAAACTCCATTGAAGTTCAAAAGGTAAGAAAGCGAGATTATCTTTTTTTATGAAAAAAGCTTCAACATTTAATGTTTTACTGATAATCATTGCTGGAAACTAAACCCAGTAAAAATGTAACCCAACACAAACAGATAAGCACATAGAGCAGGAAGGTAACCCTTTCTCTGTCTCTGGTTCTTTGCCATCGATGGATAGCTTTTAAATCAAATTTAGCAGATCTCAAGCAGATAAAAATCAGGAAAATAAAAAAGAAAAAAGAGGCAAGAAGCAAAAATCATGCAAATCATGTCAACAGAGCGGGTGGTAGAAAAGATCCACGCCACCAGACATCAAATCACAGATGGAACAAATTACAAACCAATGGGTGTTCACTTCCGAAACCGAAAAAGGAAAAAGGCTGCACTGACCATAAACAAATGAATTAAACACATAAGAGAAGAGAAACGATGATGACACGAACATAAGCCAAAAAAAAGAAACAAACCCCAAAAAGTTTAAGTAAGCATTTTTATGTGAAGATATAGATATAGATATATATATATATACCTGTGCGGCCATTCTGGCCCATTTGTTTCCAAGCTTGGAATGAAGGTCGATGATGATTTGTTCTTCCTCAGGAGAGAATGCACCTTTCTTGAGATTAGGCCTGAGATGGTTTGCCCAGCGAAGTCTGCAACTTTTGCCGCACCTGAACAACCCAGAATTCTTGTGCACGGAGTTCCAATTCCCTTCACCGTGCTTCTTCACGTACTCTACAAGGATGGCGTCTTCTGATGGGGTCCAGGGTCCCTTCCTCACGCGACCTTTGACCTCGCCCTCTTCCTTCGTTGTAGCATTGCTGTCATCGCCTGTTTCATCGTTGGTGATGTCGTTGTTAGAGACTGTCCGCGCCATAACAGCTACAATTCACAGAATGCGAGGTCCGGGCGTTACAGGAGAAGGTGGTGTATAGGAGAATGTTTGTTTTGTTTAATTACAGAGAGATGGTGATGGTGATGGTGATGTTGCTGTTGTTGTCTCTCTCCTCTCAGGAGAATGAATGGAAAAGGGTGGAAGAGAGAGAGAGAGAGAGAAAGAGAGAGAGGAGAGATGAAATGGTGGTGAAGAATGAAGAAGAGACAGAGAGATATAAAGGGAACAAACCCTTCTGCCCTTTGTCTTCTCTTTGCTTCGTTTTCTGTTTTGTTTGGATTTGATGTTGAAACTTGGATTTTATGGAGAAGAAGAAGGTGGGAGATGCAGAGAGAGAAAGAAAGAAAGAAGAGCGTGTGGGGCCCAGGCCAAATGCAAAGGTAGCGTTTGCTAAGGTTAATTTGGTGTTTCGAAACAAAGAAAAAACTAAGAAAGAGAGACAAAGGGTGAAATATGTCATTAGAGGTGTGAGCTATAATTTCGCTCCGATTTGCATGCTCTGTGCTACGTTCTTTTTCCTGCTTCTCATTTTCACCTTTTTTTTACTCCACTACTATATATTATATAGTACTTTTAATTATTTTGATAAATAATTATTTTAATAATTTCTTTATGTTATTTTTTCTATAAATAAGAGATAAATTTGAGGCTATATAATTAAAAAGAAAAATGTAACCTGAGTGTTCAAGTTACGGTATACAAATTTATTAGGTTGAATAATGTGTTGTGTAATGATTACAGTTTTATTTTACATGTAAGAATAATAAAGGAGAATTTAGTTGAAAATATGAGGAAATTAAAGAAAGAAAAGAGTGTATAGGAAGTCTGGGAGAAAAAAGGTGATGGCTTCACATTTTTCTTGAATTGTCTGTGTTTTTCTTGTAATAGACTTCTAAGTGTTTTCTTTTATGTCCCAAAATTTCAGCAATGATAGTTATTAAGCCATTTATGGAAATTTTTTCTCCATTTTCTGTTCATTAATAGAAATGAGGTTTTACTGATCATATTATTTTGAAATTTCAATATATGCATTTGTCATAAAAATTAATAAATTACTGTCCAAATTATGCTTATACATTATATACCAAGTTTCGAATTCCAATCATAATTATCTATGTATTATCAGTGCTTTAAATGATTGTTTTTTCATTAGAAAATATAAATCATATTTATCTTGGTTGTCTCACTTTTGACTTTTATTAATAATAACATTTTGGCTGTAATATAAATTTTGACTGTTAATAATTAATCAAAACAAAAAAATTATATCTCTTTATAATTAATAATCAATAGTTTAAATATATTATAATGATGTGTGTACATATTCAAGTTACGTATTTTTGTTTATATGGAAACGGGAAAGTATAAGGTTGGGCTGATTTATTCAAGTTTATATATTTCTGAACTGTAAATTAAATTGAATCAACACAAAGTAATTAGTCAAATTGAAATGAAAGGAGGTCCCTTGACTAAGTTTTCTTTTAACTAATAAATATTAGGGAAAAAAACTACAATTATCTAAAGGGGAAGACCTAAATCAATAATTATCTCAAAATCTTTGAAACTCAGTCACAAATTATAATATCACTAAAATAATAGTGAAATGTTCCTAGCGATCAATCAATAATAAGCCTCTTAATCCGTTCTTCTAAACAAAATTTACAATGTCAGTCAATAAATAATTACCATATCTTTAAATTTTTAATTGTTCTATAATTATTCTAAAGTCATATACCAGGTTGAAAATACATCAAAATAAAAAAAATAGATATTTAGTGTAAAAAACATTTAATGACATTAATATTGATTAATAATTGTTATTTGATTAAAAAGTTATTCAAAACTATATAATAAATTTGATTATTGACTAAATTTAATTAACATGTATTATATATAACGATAAAATTAATAAGTGTTGACTATAGCATTGATGAAAAAAATCAATTAGCCTAAACTTTGATTTATTGAACTACCAAAATATATAATGGTTGAATTAATGAAATATAAGTTATATAAAAAAATTATTGGAGAAGGTAATTTATCAAGAATTATTCTAGAATAATCTAACCCCTCTTTTAATATATGTGAGTAGAAGAAGTGTTTCATATACGTTATGAATGTATCTTTAACGTTGCTGTCAAAACGGGTATTTGGTCCGACTCGGTTCGGTCCACCAGAGTTGGTCACTTAGTGAGTTAACTTAATTTGGTTCATTTACTAGTGAGACTGAAAAATTCAAATCCGGTCTTACCTACTACAGGTTGTGGATTAAATAGATTAGCTCACTAGTTCACTTAATTACAAATTTTTTAAATAAAAAAATTACAAACTTTTTGTAATTTAAATCTAAATAAATTTCACTTCTAAAATGATGTTAAACTCAAGACAATTCAAAATAATAATAAAAAAGTACAAAATAATCTTTCTTGGTAGGTGAGTGAGGAGAGTATTTTTTAGAGTTTTATAAAATAATAAACTAATAAAATAAAATTAGGTGGGTTGGTTCACCAACACAATTCACCACGGGTTCAACCCAGATGAATCAGATTTAAATGAGTCAGGTTGAAAATTAACCCACATAAAAAATATATATTTTTTCAAATCTAACACAGTCCGAACCCGTGATAGATAGAATTGACCCGAGGATTGTAATCCATTTTGACAACTCTATTTAATCTTATACTTGTAAATCATAAAAATATAAGTTTGAATGATTAAAACTATTTTTAAATTTATGAAAGGTGAAAGGCCCGGAACAAAAATTTTATGATTTTTATGTCATAAAAGTATTATTGCAACGTGATAAAATAATTTAAAACATTAATATTAATTTTTGAAAATCATTTTTAAAGAATTTAAAAGCAAGTATTAAATTATGCAGATATTCAATTAGGAAATGAAGACTATTAATTGTTCATTTACTTGTGAAAGTTTGAATGAATTTATTATTATATTTATTTCAACATTTAATCTATATTTAATACCCTTTTATTAATCATTTTCACTCTATTTATTTTTAAAACATTAAAACCAAAATCAATGCCATTATTGATTACTAATCAATATTTAAAAATAAATAATTTAATGACATTACATCATTAAATATTTTTTTTTTAAAAATAAAACTTTTTATATCAAATTTAGAGACAAAAAATAATTAATCATTAAATTAAGTAATATTTTATAAATTAAAATTATTTGTATCTAATATAATTTGTATTATTAATAAAATGTTAAAATAAGTTTATGAATCTTTACGTTACCTATCAATGTTTGAGTTATTTATTATTATTGATTATCAATTAGTCTTTATTATTAGATAGAAGAGTAATTTAACATTAATAATAATACGTAAATAACTAATATAAAGATTAAATTAAAATTTAATTAATAAATTAGTTATAATTTTTTATTATTATTAAAATATCAATAATTTTTAGTTTATTAAATGATAACTTAATGAACTATTAGTTGTTTTTGGATTTTAAACTTAGTTTCCTTGTGATATATATAAATAGAGTAATCATAAATTTTGAAATAAAATATAAAATAATTCTCACACTATCTTAGTTTATTTATAAAATATTTTATATACGTTCGAGATTAAAATAAAAGTTGTAAAAATATAGTTGGTCTAAAATTTAAATAAGAGAACATATTTTATAGTAAACGCTATCTATGATAAACATTTTATACGAGTTATGAATTTTGACTAATAATTTTTGGAGGTTAAAAACAACATTTTAAAAACTAAACTAATACATATATAATAAAGTTAATAAAGTTTATTATTTACACATATTTACAAGAACGAGTTTTTCTTTTCTCGTAGATTATACTGTTTTTATCTTAATAATAAGTAATACAAAAATATATACCCTTAATTAATTACTAATAATACCGAACTTATCTTAAAGAAAAAAGTATAAAAAATTGCAAATTTAACTATTAGGGTGGATGAACAGACTATCCTTTCTCTTTTAAGTTAGTAGGAATAGGAAGTAAAAGCAAGCAGGGATGTAGAAGAGAAACTCTCCCAATCAAGCATTTATAATTACATTTATTTGATATATATTATAAAAATAAAATAATTATTAAAAAAATAAATTATTATATTTAAAATAAAAGTAAAAGAAAAATAATAAATGAATGTAAAAAAGTCATGTGTATCAAAATATTATTTTTAAAATCAATAAACCCGTTAAATAAGTATTGTTTTTTTAATGAAATTGTGCATTTGAGATAGTAAAATTTAGTTGGAATCTTGAACTAAAAAAATTGAATGGCTAAACTTTTAACATGAAATTGTTTTGAAAGGGTGAAAATCCACGGCATCATAAAGGTATTAAAATAAGGGTTAAATATGTTTTTAGTCCTTAAACTATTGGCCGTTTCTGGTTTTCGTCCCTCTTTCAAAGTAAGGTACAATTTGGTCCTCATTCTTTTTCGAAACGTTTGTTTTAACGTTTCGAAAAAGAATGAGAACCAAATTGTAGCTTACTTTGAAACAGGGACAAAAACTCCGCCAATAGTTTAGAGACTAAAACATATTTAATCCTTAAAATAATCAATAGACTTTAAATAGGGCACTAATACCACAACATTTGGAAAACATGCAGAGCTTTCGGAAGTACGTTTCTTAAAGAAAAGAGTTTAACTCCTACATTAAACTTTCTAGATAAAGTGTTGTGCCTTTTTCAAAGTTACATCAAAATAAAAATCACTCATTTAAAAAAGTGTTCAGCGGTTTCTTTTGTTTACATATAACTATTTTATTTTTTATTTAGATTGCACATTTTATGAAAAACATATAGTAAAACTTATATATAAGATTGTTTCTTTTGTTAAATAGATTTTTTATTTATAATAAAAAAAATATGAATTAAACTTAAATTATAAATACAAATAATAACAAACTAATTGTTTGTGCTGAAATGAGACGAGGATAACCATCTTATTTTGTACCAAACGTTCTCCTTACTTCGGACTCCAACCAACCGATCGGTCCTTTCGTTTGTGTGCCGAGCGTCCTTGTTTTTTCCTCCAAAATCTTGAACAAATGGGGGTGACTTGCAGAAGACACTCTGATGCTTAAGTCATAATTTTTCTACGTAGGTGTTTTATAATTCGATGTTAAGCAAAAGTTAGTTTACCTCGAAATTGTTTAAATGAATTTGACCAATTAATTTACCTTTTAATGGTCATTAATGCAAACCTTAATTGTTTAACAGTAGTCGTTGTGACATTAATTGCGACTTAACTCTGTACAACGGTTGTAGACCGAGCGGTTGTCAGACGCTTTCATGCACATCCATCCGCTCGGTTTTGTCCCTGCAATTTGTCACTCTTCCCAATCGATCCATAGTAACACTAATTAATGATAAAAATAATATTTCTTTTGTTTAAATTTTTTTGTCACATTTAGAGTAGTTTTTCATTCTTTGTTTGCT